TGAACTCACTGTCTTAAGCCAACTGAGAACAATAAACTACTCATTCCTGTGGAGAACATTTATTGCAGATTATTTTAACAAAGAGATATATCACATTATCAAAGAACATTTCCATGTTCTGCACTGTACAGTTTATGTGTCTTATGAAAATTAATGCAAAACCTGAAGCTGAAAAAGATTTAAGTTTAGTTTGAGATGGCTTTTTTATTATTCGATTTTTCTCGAGCGGCCCCACCTTTTAAGTGGGGCCCAATCAAATGTGAGCTAGGAGGTTTCTGTGGTGTGATGGGTGCCTCTTTTAGGTCAGCCGAGAATTAGTCATGCCGTCAAGCGCCGTTTCGGGGTGGCAGCGGGTGGATACTCTGTTAAAAAAAATGGAGTTTTAGTAAAAAAAAATTAAAACTTTTGTATAAAACTCTATTTAAGAAGCAATAAAAAAATCGTCTCAAATTTTTGGTCAGCTGAGAATTAGTCATGCCGTCAAGCGCCGTTTCGGGGTGGCAGCGAGTGGACACTCTGTTAAAAAAAATAGAGTTTTAGTAAAAAAAATTAAAATTTTTGTATAAAACTCTATTTAAGAAGCAATAAAAAAATCGTCTCAAACTAAGCCTTAAAGAACTAATCAAGTTAAAGAAAAAAACTGTAATACTTTATTAAGTTTCAAAATAATTGATCTGATCTTTAATGACTGCTTTCTTAAGTCAAAGTTGGTATGAAATTAATAAAGGTTTATTGAAGACTGAGACAGTTAGGAGGATGAGGTTGAGCAGCAGAGATGAATGAGATGGAAGAATTATACAGTTGACATTATTTATTTTAATTTAGCTTTATTTTGATATTTGACACGAGCCCGAAAATCCGATCCGAATCAAACCCGAAAATTTCGGATTTGAGTCAACCAAAACCCAAATCGGATCGGGTTCGGGTTAGGGATTTTGACCCGTTTATAAAACCGAGTCAGGTTTGGGCTGACCCAGAAACCCGAAATCAATTTGATTTGACCTGTTTTTAATTAATTTAGGAGGATTTTAAAAGATTGTTATGAAATAAGTAAATGTTATTTCCAAAAAAATAATAAATCTATTGCCCAAACTAAATTAAGCTTGATTTATTTTAAATTGATTGAAGTAAATCTTACATTAATTTGATTTAGATTTAAATAAATTGAATTAAATAAAAAAATTTAGTAAAACATATTTGAAGCGGGTCGGATTCGGGTCGAAAAATCGCCCCATTTGCAAAAACAGGTCGGGTCACTCAATTCCGGGTGGACTCCTTAGGGCATCTCTAATTGGATAACTTATTATTCAATTCAAAATACAGTAATAGTCATATCAAACAGTAATTTATCTCCAACTGAACTCAATTTCTAACACTAAAAAAGAATATTATATATACGTTCTTTATCATCTCTACTTCTAACATCCATTTTCTACACAAAAAAAAATGCATTTCTATGAACAGTGGGACACCAACCATTCACAATTGAAATAAAATGCAAAAATGTTTTTCATTTGCAGTTTGCGTCGAAGCTTGAGAGCAGCAAATGGGCGAATGACATTCAGTTAGAAATGCCCTTAGTCCGTTGCTCCTTCGCCCACAGAAAAATTATTAGGTGCGGAGTGCGCACCGTCCGCACAAGCATTGAGTGCCTAGCGGTACCGAGCCCCCGCCAATGCTTGTGGCAACGATGAGAACCATCCGCACTCCGCACCTAATAATCTCTCTATTGCCCAAATCCTTCCTTTGCAGTCGCCTTGATTATCACCTTCCTTACCGAGTTTACAAATAACTTATAAAGAGAAAGAAAGAAAGTTAGTATGTAAAATCCATCATAATAAACATAAATATATATATATATATATATATTTCAACATATTTACTTTACATCATCTAAAAAAAATATTTTTAAAAAATATCAAATCAAACAGCTTATGAACCAAAAAATATATCTTACAAGAGGATGCAAAATCAAAAAAGAAAGCTTGAAAAAGACTCGAAGCTCTGAGTAGGCGAAGACAATATGTTGAAGTAGTTATTGAGACAGCATTTAAAAAAAAAAAATAATATAATCGTTAGCAAATGGTCCTGTTTGGCACAATATTGGTAGGGCAGTTGCACTGTGGATAACAAAAAGGGTTTACCTCAAAATTGACTCTTCAGCATGAGATTAAGCAGAAGTAGTTGAAATGCGTTCACTTTTCTTTTTTATATATATGTTTGGTGGAACCAAAAGGTTATGCAAGAAAAGCTTCGTTTGAGACCGTTTTTTGTTTTGTTTTCTAATATATTTTTTTAGTACAAAATTTTTTTCAATTCGAAAAATTTTATGCTAAAAAGTCGCTTTAGAAAACAGTACAAAAGTTGTCCCAAATGAAGCCTAAATGTTCATATGGGACAGCTTTTTTACTATTTTTTAAAGCAGTCTCTTAGTATAAAAAAAATTTGAATTAAAATTTTTTATACTAAAAAGTTATTTTAGAAAACAGTAAGAAAGCTGTCCCAAATGAAGCATAATAGAAGGGTAGAATTTTTTAAGAGCATTTTTGTTAATGTTAGACTATTAGAACCACTTGATTATGCAAGTGGTTATTGATTTCCCCTTTTGCATGTGGTGTTGTTTTCCCCTTTTGTTGATATTTTAATGGAACTCCTATGGGGAGTTAAAGTTTTCTTAGAGGCTATTTGATTGAAATTATTTTAAGTTTATCATGTTTAAACTATAGGAGTTTAAATTTTTAAATATTTGGTTGGAGTTGAGTATATTCAAAGTAATTTTTTGGAGAATTCATAGCTCCTTCAGTAGTTTATTTTTTTTGGCAAATTCAAACAAATTCATAATACATAGCGACGACGTGCTTGGCAACCTCTTTGCACACCCGATTTAACTCGTGATCTCACTGCACATCCTACACTCTATCATGCAATTGATCTCCTTGTGCATCCTAGTATTCACACAGTCTTTTGCTTGAAAACTCATGTGCATTGTGTGATCTTATACCAACCACGCCACCACTTGGACCACATCACCGACACTGCACCCCACGTCAACGTTGCATATCGCGACAAACCCGCATCTGCTCACATCGTCTATGATTTCAACCCCAAACATTACTAGTAAGTGTTTGTATATAAGTGCTTTTAGTATATTTTTGCACTAAAAATTTTCTCCATGACAACTTTACTACTACATTTATAAAAAGGTGCCGTTGGCTCAAACCAACTATAATTTTTCTTATTTTCATTAAGCAAATTCCTTTATTCCTTCTAGTTGGTCTTTATTATGTTTTGGGCTTTGTAAGTTTGGGTTTAGCTGCTATTTATTTCGGGCTTTTAAGGTGGGCATTGAATTTCGTATTTCGTGGACCTGCATTCCAGCTGTGGGCCGAATCGAAGAAAATCTGAGATGTTCGCTATTTTGAGATTTATAAAGCAACGACTGAGGAATATAATTTGAACTTTTATTTAACTTAAATTTTAATTGATTCTGTCAATGGTAATTATTTAAATATATCTAAAAATAATTTTAATTAAAAATTAGTTGAAATGTACATAATGGTACACACAAATAACTCAACACCCACCAATGCTAGTAAGATCAATATTGACCGTCGCCACCAAAGCATATGCATCTTAATCAATAATTATTTCCATCATTAGCATCATTGCTAACCTTGCAACAAAGACTAATACTCACTATCGACATTCATACAAAATATTTTTCATCGCTAATAGATAGAAGTTAGTGGTGCCAAAATCTGACATAAATCAAAACTCGACTAAGAAAATTTCGGGTTCGGCTCAACCCTATTATTATACAGGTTAAATTTGAGTTTGAGTTTTCGAACCAATTATTTTAAACAAGTCCACATGTCATGTCAGATTCAGGTTGAAATACCTAACCTTTAGAAAACATGTTAAGCTCGGGTTAAACACAAGTTGACTAACCATCAATCCGTTTTGACACTCGTTTATGTCAACTTTCAATACCAACACAAAAGCTCATCATAACCAATAAGATTAACGCCCTTATGCATACAAATGATAATTATCATCATGGTTAACAACTCAAATATTAACTATTCACATAAATTTAACACAGGTTTAATTTGAAATAACTTTTTTATTAATTTTTAAAATACCTTTTTAGTTAAAAAAGTCTTAAAAAAAATTGTCCCTACCAAAACCTTACTAATCACCGCAAAATAAACCAACGCTCATCTTCAACTAGAAAACCAACATCCAACACAAAAAATCTGCTAAGTATCACTCGCTACAATTTAAGAAATTTTTTTCTTCTGATTAGACAAATTGAATTAAAAAAAAAAAGTTGTTCTATAAAATTAGATTATAATTTATCATCATTTTGATTCTAACAAGCCCATAAAATGTATGGATGTTCTATTTTACACAACGTTTTCATTTCAAGCGAAAGTGAGATCTGATTTTATCTTCAAGATTGATGCTCGATTCAATTTTGACCTGTCAATTACATCAGCAGTTCAGCTAACACAAGATAATATAATTTCCTTTTCTTCACTAAACCATTCATTTATAAGTCAATACTATATAAGATATCTTATTTGATCCAATATTATCACGTTTTGAATTGGAAAAATAAGCAACATTAATTAAGACAAACATGCATCAAATAACTTGCCAAATCTTGAAATGTTCCTTAGTAGAATAATCCTGAAATTCAACAAGACAAACACAACTCATCTTATGATTCGTTGGGGCAGCTTTTTTGATGCTTCTTAAAAAAAAAAGAAAATATTTTATGCTAAAAAATTATTTTGAGAAGCAATAAAAAAATCATCTCAAACGAAACCTTAGTCTGCTCGTTGGAAGCTTTTGTTAGCAACTAAAAGATATTGAATTCAAAGCTCGTGTATGTGATGCATGTGTGAATTTGTCTTAATTGATCCAAATATCTTCGAAAAAAAAGAAGAATAATTTTATTAACTGCAGATTAACCATAAAAAACATAAGAAATAATATATGCCAAAAAAAGTATAAAAAAAAAACTTAAACCTCCCAGGGCTTGAAAGAAGATAGCAAAGCAAAAGAAAGATGAGCTGAGCAATGAATAAAATATAGCTCACTTATGAACCAATCCTACTACCTCTCTATTCACATACCATCTCTGCCTAAAATAAATACAGCAGAGAATAACCAATGAAATAAACAAATTATTATAAACCTAAACAGATTCCTTCTACTGATGATCACTACTGCCAACTTCCAATCAGCACATTTACTATAATGCTGAGATTGGTTTTAACTAATAATGAGATAGGCCACAAAATAAACGGCGCTGTCAATGAAGAGACTGTCCAGGGCTACCACCAGATGATCTGGCTTCAGGAGCTGGGACGGATGGCTGGGAATCTCCAGATATTTCTATCTGCTTGTAATCAGACTAAAATAAATTTGAATCAGAATTGCTATATGTTTTCATTTTTTTTTTTTTTTGCAAAATGTAGTAGAGCCATAAATGTGCATTTACAAGTGCTAGAATGTGCATGCGCGCATGTGTGAGTTAAGAGAAATTATTATGTGTGGAGACCGGACGCAGAATGTCGTATGGATACCAATTAGAATACGCCACGTCAGCAATACCAAGCTGCGGTATCGAGCAAGGGGTGATGTGGCGCATTCTGATATGTCTTTGAATGTCATTCGGCGTCCGCACAGAATAATTAATCGTGAGTGAAGCAGGGGAAATAAATTGCAGAAAGAAAAAAAAAATGGTAGGGATACGTTGATTGAATTTTGATCAGGATAGGCTCTCAAAAAAATCAAATTTGAATTTACATGGAGATGGGTGTGAAACATGAATAATCAATCAAATTTTGTATTAAACTAACCTGAAAATGAATTTAATGGTTTTGTGGACCATTCTGATAAAAATTTTGATCGGAGTATTTCTAAGATAGATTCTTCCTTGAAATACATATGGAGAAGGAAAAAAAACAAAATTGAGAGGTAGGCAACTAGGTAACATGCACTTAACTAGTAACAATAGGACAAAAAAAAGATTATCCTTATAGAAGCAAAGTTCCTGTTATTTAATAGCTCAGTTAGCTACTTGTAGATGAAAAGTACGATTTACAAGTGATAATTTATTTTGACTCCATTTTAAGTGAATGGAAATCTAATTTTGGGGATTCTAGATATACTTGTAGAGTTGAAAATTACATCCAACCAAAATATGGAATTCATTAATTTTTTTTTTTTATTGAAAAATATTTTTCTAAATTTTAAGCAAAAGTGGCCCTAGAAAGTAATATGGTTTAGAAGAGCGTCAAACCTGAGATGATATGGCTGGGAAAGAATTTTGGGATGATTGCTGAGATTTGGAATGCATCCTATGCAGATGCTGCATTTGCTGAAACTGTTGCAGCCTAGATGCAAAGTTGATGTGGTTATGCGCATTGTCCATGTCATGGTTACTGCCATCTGGCATCTGTATACTTTGTGCATGGGGACTCCCTGAAGATGTGCATGTTCCTTGGTCAGCCATGACATCATGTGGGCGCATAGGTTTTAGTCTAGTTTTTAACATCTTGAATGCCGCACTTTGCTGCATAATAGATCAATTCAATTCTGATAAAACTGAAAGGCTGTATTGCAACAAAACGAATGAAACTTTAAGATAAGAAAATGAAAGCAATTCTAGAGAACTGAATGGCTATGACACCTCAAATCCTTTTTATATATAAACAAAAGGATTAAGATCTTTTTATAAGCAGTATAAAAAGAAAGACGTTAAGATCTTTTTAATTCACTTCAATGGAATAATTATATGGGATTGATTGACTACTGACCGATGTGTAGGTTGAATGCTTAACTCAAGTCGCTCCTTTTTTGTGTTTTATACTGATCATTTGAATTCTCATTAAATTGTAAAAAACAATAATGTATAATTAATCGTGCATCATACTCATCTGAATCATTGTTCACATGTTCATTCATGCTAATGCTAGTTATTGCATAGGTATTGAATTAATTCTAGGAAATCTTTTCTTTTCTGCTCTGTTTTTCCCCCCCTGAAATTTCAAATACTATACTCTTTGATAATCCTTAATTAGGTAACCTCCCCAATTACATTAAATATGAAATTAAATTCGGATTTAATTCTAATCTCCAATTAATGCATATGGTCCACATACATTGAATCTAGACCGCTCTCCCTCCTCATATGGCCGGCCCCCTTCCCCTTAACTTTTTTCTCTCCAATTAATACCTAGCCCCAATTAAACTCCCCGATAATTCCTTCCTAAGCCGCCGGCCCCTATAGCCCAATTTGGGATGATTTGAAATTCAAACTAATCCCTTCCCCTCTCTTGGAAAAATCTGAAATTAAATTCAGATTTTTCTAATTCATTTCTTCCACCTCCCTAGCCCTAAACCCAAAAAGTTCCCACATAAACCTAGCCGTCTCTCTCCCTTTCCCTCTCTACCCGAAACCCCAAATGCCGGCTCCTCCTCTCCATTCTCCCATCACAAGCCACCGGCTCCTCCAAGGATCCCAATAAAGGAGTCGACCACAGATTCACGTACGATTCTCAAGGATAAATTGATATCCTTCAGTCGCCATTCTTTGACCACGACTGGGAGTTAGAAGATTCCATCGACGATTACGTCGATCGCATACTCTTCCACCTAGCCGAGACTATTGACAAACAACGACCCTCCGGACAATGGAAACTCATCGGACGTCCACCAGCGCCTCCTTCTCCGGCTTCCTTCCCGTGGATCAAGACCGTCGGCATCCTAACTTTCTTGGTGGCGTCGTTGAGATTGCTGAAAATCTCTCTCCACTAAAGCCTCTCATAGAGTGTGAGTGAGAAAGCAAACTCTAGGTGAAAAGCACTAAATATTAGCATGTAAAATCTTATTAGAATACATTTAGTTTTATTGTAATTTTTCTGATATTATTTTAAGTTGTTCCGTTCTCCTAAAATTGTGACTGCATGCCAAAGTAAAACGTCAATCGAGAGTTCTTAAAATTAATTCTTGTGGCTCATTAATCTTAAAGTAGCAAGCGTTACAATAATTTTATTATTTCCTTGGAATTCCTGTTTGTATCACATCAAAAATACAAATACAAGCCTCATAAATTATGCAAAACAATACCAAAAATAATAGATTTAAATACCTTTTGCATGACTTTTAAGAAAGTTGATTACTAATAAGGTGTGAATACAAGAAAACTTGTGAAAAAATGAACAAAATGGAGCATTGTGAAGTGGTGCATCATAAAACATGCAAATGGACCATAAGGATTTGTGCTAATTAAAAAACTTTCGAACCACATTATAAATCATCAAAAGATGAAAAAAAATCTTTAGATAGTGTCTTATTCAATATCCAATCAATCTTTAGAGAGAATTTCAAAACCCATTGAAAAAATGTACTTTTCTTTATATTAATCTCTCTCAGTTTTCTATCAATACACCTCTCATAATAGCCGACTTATGTAATTTTGACCTGGTGAGCATAACAGGCAAGAAGATTTTAATCACCTACATCAAATAAAACTAAGCCATCTCAAAAAACAATACGAGCAGAAAAATAATAAAATTGCAAAGATGGGCTTGCAACATGCTACAGTAAACACAGGAAGGAAATGGGGAAGGACTGCGGGGACAAAGGAGAGCAAAAACTTACATTCAGATGCTGCATTAAGGTGTAGGGAAGAATGGTAGAAATCCTAAGCTAATCCAGACTCCAAAGATAATTGCAAGTACAACTCAAGCAAATAGAAAACACTAAACCAGCAAGTTTTATGGATAAGCAAAAATATGATGACATGCTTTCATCAAGCCTTGTCCTCTTCGTTGTAGAATCCCTAAACATGGACCAAAAGACTAAAGAACGTCAAGGACTTGTTCCTCCACTAGGAAAGCAAATGGAAAAAAGAATTTTCCTTACATCTACTTATTAGTAATACTTAAAGTGTAGATGATGAGGACATCGGAGATCAACGGCTACGATCTTGAGTTATTTATTTATATGTTTTATGTACTAGTTTATTTTATATTATTATTTTTTCCTTTATACCCTTACGGGTGGTCATTTAGTATTGTAGCCCGAAGGGCATTTTAGTCTTTTATTTCTTTTCTTTTCATGAGGCCTATTTATAGGCTAGTTGTTTTGTATTTTGGGATGATGAATGATGAAGTATAATTTCAATGGGTTTTGAATGGGATGATCTCTTAGTGAGTTTGTAAGAGGAGAGGTCCAAGTGGGGCAATCGCAATACCCGACAACCTTTGGAAGAGTCCAAGGTTCGCGGTTCTTCAATCCTTTTATTTTCTTTGTTTTCTTGCATCCAATTCCCTCTCCTCACCTCCCACCCGCCGGCCTCCCACTCCCCAAACCTTTTCTTTTTTCCCTAACCTGAGCCCCTCCCCTTGCCGCCGGCCTCCTTGGGTCGCCCAAGCCGCCGGTTACCCCCACCCAACCGCCAGCCACCCTCCCCTTCCTCCCCTCTCCACGCACCTAGTCGTCAGCCCCCTCCCTTGGATTCATAAATTTGAAATTCAAATTTCAAATACCCATTTATTCACTTTCCTAAAATAAGTCTAGCCAATTTGGAAAGTTTCCTATTGTGAATTCAATTAAATAATTGAATTCAAATAGTTTCCTATTGTCTAAACCTATGATAGGAAACCTTCCTATTTGATTTAAATCTAATTTAACTTTCAGATTTTAAAATTACTCCTTAATTAAATCCTTGGGGCCCACTCACTTAAACCAAATCCCTCTCACCCTCTCTCTATTTGGCCGGACACCTATTCCCCTCTCCCTCTCTCTCTCCTATCTCATTAATTGCCACCAATTAACTCCCCTTAATCCCCTCTTAACCGCCGGGCCCCCATGTATGGGATTAATTTGAATTTCAAATCAATTCCCTCCAATTCCACTTAACTTGAAATCTAATTTCATATTTCTAAGCATCTCACCAAATCCCCAACCACCTTGGCCGCCCCCTTGCTGTCCAGAAAATTATGGACGTTTACAGTGGCTGTCCTCCTTTCCAAATATTGGAAATTGCTGTCCCAACTTTTCCTTTTGTTATCCAAAGGCTCCAGCCGAGGTTTTGTTGCCGTTCAGCCATCCTAGGAACCCAAGCTGCTGAGCATGCTTTAGGAGTTGCTGTCCAGATTTCAGAAACAACCCAGTTTCCTGTCTAGAAGCTTCCCGGAGCAAAATAGCTTGCTGCCCTGACGTCCAAAGCAAGCTAGCCTGCTGTCTAGCCGTCCAGAATCTGCCCCAATTGCTGCCCTGAGGAGATCCAGTGCTGAACAGCTGCTGTCCAGTAATTTCAGCCAACGCCAAAGCTTCATATCTTCTATTTCTTTAGGTAAACTCATCCTCCTACTCTTTTATCTTTTAGTTGCTCTCAATTGTAGTTGTAATTGAATCATAGAAAGTTGTGTTAACTCTTCCTACTAAGGCTCAGTGATTAGAAGAATTCTGTGAGGAATCTTTCATAGTACTACTCTTATTGTTAATCTAGGGATCTCTTGTTGAAAACCATTCATGCATGCAACGTAGATTAAGTTGGCTATTTTCGATCTTAACTTCTATGCATGTGGTTTAGTCTAAGCTTGTCTTACCACTCTTTGTGTTTTATTGCGTCGTTTAACTTCACCATTAAGATATAATTATTTGTTCTAGGAATATTAAGTGTGCAAATTCCTTAAAGCAATCCATCCATGCAATTATGTTTCACATCAGTAGAAGCACTTTTTTCAACTGGAACACTCATACCATTATTTTGGATAATAACTTCACTATTACTCAAAACAAATATTACTATAGATTACAGAAGTTTACCCCAAAGAAATAGCCAAATATATTGTAAAAAAACATTTTGAGTAAATTCGGGCCTGACCAAAGTATGAATTGAAGCAATAGTTTTTTAAAGGGTATCCACTTTTTATGCATTTTGTTTTATAACTCAGCTAGCCTACATCTAAACTTACTGAACGTGTAATTCAGTGTTAAGCATCCTCCAATATACTCAGAAAAAGACTTCCAAGCATTAACAGTTATGGAACTCCCTACAGCATATCGAAACATGCTATTAAGGATAACCTGGATAGCTGCTCAGCACAGAAAAGGAGGGACAGAGAGAGAGAGATAAAGGGAGAGAAGAGGGAGAGAATGTATATATTTAACCAGAAAAATACAAAACTAATGAACAAACCTGGGGCAGCAACAATAAAAGACCATATAGCACAATGATCAACCATGGATACTTGTCAGGGTACAAAAGCTGTAAACAAAAAAAATACATTAATAAATACACAAAATAATGGTAAACCGTCGAAGCAGAAACCTATTACAAAACAGGCAAATTTTCTAGCTCAAACAGTGAATTCTCAATCACAGCCTTAAGCATCTAAACTCTCATGACTCCAACATAGTACTTAGATGGGTATAAATGAACGTCAAAGCATATTTTATTGCTATAAGAATCCTCATAAGATGCACGCGGACTCATGTTAGTGCCTTCATGTAGGTTTGTTAACAATTTTTTAAAGGAATAAAGGAGAAACATTTAGTACAACTATATAAGCAAGAAGATACATGATTTTGGTAATTAGAAGAGAATCAAAATTATTAAGTCATACAACAAATGCAAAGGAGAAGATAATGCAACAAAGGCTTAGAAAAATATCTATTGTAAGGAATTAATTTAGATTTATGCCATCTACCATGAAAGTCATGCTAACAAAATTAATAAGAAAATATAGAGAGAACCAACTAGATCTTCTAAAAGGTATATAATCAAGATATAATGAGAAGTGGTTTAAAAAATATAATGAAAAATAATAAGCTAATGTTTGAAATTATTAAAGATATGCACTGTGGAGGAGCAAAGAGCATTGGAATAAGTTTTGCATCAACCAAAGAGCATCAAATCACAGTTGGATTACACCAAATATCAACATAAAATCCATATTGTCTCAAGTTATTATTTGGAGGTTAAAGTGGAGAAATAACTTGGAAAACATAACAGAACAGCATCAAAGAAACTTTAAAAAAGGTAAATTACAGAAGCATAATTTAGATCAACTATAGTTATGGATCAACCTTTTAGGCAACAAGGAAATCCTTGATAGTTAGTATTAGAGTACCCAAAAAATGTTATTAGAATAGATATGTGGTAAAATAAGAATAGAGATGACAAAGGCAATAAGTATATCACCTATCATAAGTAAAAAGAATTTGAATAGTTTTTCCAAGATATATATATATATATATCATACGCACATGAGAAAATGACCAAAATGGTCATTTGACTCTTTATGGAAGATCAAAATAGTCTCCAACTAATGTTAAATGACCAATTTAGTCCCTCGAGTTTAAAAAAAAAAAAAAAAACAATGACATGGTGGGACTATTTTGGTTCCTCTTTAAGGAGTTGTTGACTATTTTAGTCTTTCACAAAATAAAAAAAAAATAATGCCATGGTGGGACTATTTTGGTTCCTCTTTAAGGAGTTGTTGACTATTTTAGTCTTTCACAAAATTCAAAAGACCATTTTGGTCATTTTCTCATACACACATAAAATAATATGATGAAATCCTTGATAGCCAATATTGGAATAACAAAAAAAATTGTTGAAAATGGATGTATGGTAAATTAAGAATAGAGTGAGAAATAACAATATTGCAAAGGCAATGGAAGTAACACCTATTGGAGGTATAGTAGTGAAAAAAATTTAAATGTTTTGTTCATGTAAAAGAGAGGACAAAAGATGCACCAATAAAGCAGACAAATAAACTCAACTAAGAGGAATTAGAAAGGGAAAAGGTTAAACCAAACATCATATGGCTAAAAAAAAATCTAGCATTAACATCTTGGGGATTCAGTAATTCAACGCAAAATAATTAGAATAAGGTAAAAGAAGAGATGATAAAAATGGCTCTTGATGTGTTTTAAACATCTAGAAAAAAAAAAACAAAATAATAATAGGGCTTCAAATTAAACGCCATTTATCGGAAATGGGTCCATATGCCAGCTTCTTCCATACCATGCTTACAAAAGTTAGTGTATTTTTTGGTAAACATTTCTTCTTTAACATCAAGATTCAAAGACAAATATGGGCATAATAATTAAAAAAAAAAAAAGACAAATATGGGCATATAACTAAACCAAAACAATTCAAAGATCTATGGCTCATCACGTTATCTAAGTTGAAGAAACCAAATTTGAATGTAGAAGAAAGTTGCCGGGTTCAATATAAACCATCCATAGGTCAAGTACCTGCAATCTCAAGTATGCAAATACTGGAGTCTCAAGTAAGCGAATCAGCTTGTCCAATTGCATCAAGAACTTTACATTGATGTCGTCCTCCCCCAGTGACTTAATTACATCACTAGCATGATGATAGGCCTTTAATAGTTCAAAAGAAATAATTAATCATACAAAATGTACATAAAAATGAAATCAAGCAGCCTTCCTTCTAGATCCCTACCTGAGCAAGCAAACACAGGCTTAATATTGCCATTGGTGAATGACACCATGAAGAATATAGAGAGATAAATAAATCTTTGCCAGAAGGATTAATTAATGATTGCTTGAGGAGTTCTCTAAGATTAGCCAGTTCAGATGAAGTGAGTAGAATCAAATTAAGTGCCTGCACTTCGAGTAATTACAAGTCAGAAAAATTTTCTATCTTGCTCCCTTCAAGTTCTTTATTTGAAGAATGTCAAGGCAAGATTGATTGAGAGAAACCTGAACCATGATTGATGCAAATTCCAGATCTTCTTCACCCTCTAGGATTGTCGAAAATTCCCGGTAAACTCTTTCAGCACCCAAAAGAACGGATAGTCGACGAACTATCAAAGCACCACGTCTGCAGATATATCACATTAGAAGTGTAAATTTTCATTCTTAATTGCGCTTTTTTCCTCTGTAAAAGAAAGCTCGCTTTTTTCATAGAAAGTTGGATAACATACTTCTCCAGAAGCATGTGGTCAGAGTGAAATCTATGAATCAAAAAAACAACAAGATGACGGAAGTGTTGCATATCTTTTGCTATGCGTGCATGAACCTCTAGCACAAGAAGAACAACCTGCAAATTAGCCAAATCTGTGATACGCTGCTGAAAAATGATCATCTCCAATATGTCCACAATAATATTTAAGAATAGAAAACAGAATTCAATACGGAATAGCATATGCAAAAAGAAAAATTTGACTTTCATATCCAACCTAACTGAAATTAAGATAGTCCAAGAATCAGCAATGCAAAATATTCATCTTTGTCAACATAATTTTATCGCAGACCCTCAAGTGTAAGTGATGAGGACATCCGGCCATGGATAGTTTATCAGAGGAAGGACTGGAGATCTACGGCTACGATTGGATTATTCTATTTCTAAGAATTTATTTGTATTTGATTTCTTATGTGTAATTTTCATTTTTACCCTCACTTGAGGGAGTAGGTTTATGTGACTCCAGGGGCACTTTTGTCATTTGATGTTTATTGTATTTTTTCTATTTATAGGCCTCACCTCCTTGGGAGGATGATGATTATTATGAATGAAATTTTCTGCACTTTGTGTCTAAGTGTGTTTGAGAGCCTTGAGAGTTCTTGTGAGAGCTTACGTGAAGTCCATAGGTGAAGGCAAAGCAAGACCCCTCAATCGCAGGAAGCATCCGGGCTCATGGTTTATCTCCGCTTCCACCCCCATTGAGCTTCCCGCCACCATCATCTCCTTCCAAAGCTCCAACCGACCACCTCCTTTCTACTCCTAGCTTTGACCATTCAATACCTCTCCTTTCCCCCTTCTTCATAGCCACAAACCACCTCCTTGTTCTCATGGACGAAACCATCGTAATCCCCTCTCCCCTTTCCCCCAATATTTCAAATTGATCTTTTAACATTTTCCTAAATTAGCCCAGCGTTATTTTCAAAAAAATCTGAAATTCAAATTTGAAATCTCCTAAAGCTTTGAAATCCTTTCCTAAATTGTCGAGTTATGTTTGGAAAGATATCTCAATCAATCAATGTGAATATTAATTGGAGATCCCAATTGATTCGACTTCCTAATTTAGTCGAATGTTAATTTTGAAAAATCTGAAATTCAAATTCGAAATCTCCTAAAGCCTTGAAATCATTTTCCAAATTGTCGGGTTATATTTGGAAACATATCCCCAATCAATCAATTTGAATATTAAATGGAGATCCCAATTAATTCCCCTTCCTAAATTAGCCTAGCTTTAATTTTGGGAATTTGAATTCAAGTTCTCCTACAAGCCTTGAATTCATTTCGTAAATTGTTGGGTTATGTCTGGAAGGATATCCCCATCAACAAATTTGAATATTTAGTGTAAATCAGATTTCCTTAACTAGTAAGCTATAGTTGGCAACTCCACTAAGGCTCCAAATCAGCCCCCCAAATCATTTAGTGGTTGCCACCCCCAATTTCACGCCGGGAGCTTGTTGTTTCCCTCCCAAATCATCCCAAATTCCTCAAGAATTTTTTGATATTCTTGAGGAAGATAGTTGCTTTTCCTCTTTTGCTTAAGGGTTTTTTGCCCTTCCTTTACTTTTTTAGCTTGTAGTAGTTTCTTGATGAATGCAAATGCAAAGTTCAGCCCAAATCATCCCAAAGACAGCCGCCTGCTGCTGAAATACAATATCAACCTGTTTTTCAGTCCCACTACCAGTTGTTCAAGGATTTGGCGCCCACATAGTTGTTGTCCAAAATTTCCGGAGACGTTAGAGTGCTGTCCGGACGTGCAAGAGGGTTCGTATTGTTGTCCTTTCCACATAGGCAACCAAACGACTTCGTCGTGGCTTAGCATCTTCTTCCATGCAGCTTTCCGAGAGGGGAAGCCCCCCCCCCCCCCCCCCCCCCCCGCGGTATCTTTTTGATCCCTCAATCATGACATTGTTTTATTATAAAAGCTTATCCGCTTAGCCCGCACCAAGAATGTTGTGTGAGTGGGCCTTTGTAGTAACTAATCTATTTGTTAACTTAGGGATTGTATTTGAAACACCACGTCAACATGTTATTAATTAATTTGTTATTTAATGGTCCTCTCATTAGCATGTGATTATTTTTGTAAACTCGATTGTCCCCTTGCTTGCGGAAGTCATTGCTTAAGTTCATTGTGAGTTAATAAATTGTTAAGCTCTATTTAAGCACGCGTAATTTCCAAATCAACATCACTTGCATATATATAGTTCTGCATCAATTAGTCAGTGTAAACCTTAAAGAAGAACATGTGCTTGATTCCCTAGTTCAAATACAACCCTAACTGGATAACACATTATACATCATTTTTGCTTCTGAAGTTTAGGTACATTATCATGCTGCATGAATTCAATAGTTTTTTAGGCTGTTTGGTCACAAGCATTTGAAAATCCGATGTATTAAAAAATAATAAAATCAAGCATTTAAAATACGTTGCGGTGTGTAGTTACTTGTGAAAGAAATTCAGGAGTTTCAGTAAAATCAATATTTTCGGCCAAGTTAGCATTGGCAGTAGCCGGCGAAGCTTCACACACCTTATGTATTTAGACTTTGTCCGAATTGAGCGAATTCCAAATAAATTGAAAATGAGCTATGTTGGGAATTTCAAATATATAAAAAACTTGCATTTAATTTTCTTCCGATCAAATAGCAAAAATTTTAAAATGCATTCGTTTGGTTTTCTCTACACTACTAACACTTGAAACCAAACAGCCCCTTAGGGCCCCTTAGGTAAAAGCTCCAATCAGACAGTGAGCAATCTCCACCAATTAGAGGTCAAACTTCATGTTATTACTGCAATCTCTGCCTTGCATTTCTAATTCATAACCGGCCATAACACTACTACAGAAACCAGCAAAAATTAGCAGGAACGATTTCAATTAACAGTTGAATTGCTTGGTTCCTCACTGATAATTCACATTTTCCCCCACTGCACGAAAGCTGAGATGAGTTCCACTTCCATCTGACGCCAAACTGCAATACAAAGACTATATACCTGACCATTAAGCCAAAGTTACTCTTCCTAAAACTGAAGAGAAGAACAGGGAATATATAAATCATTACTATTTCATTTTATGTTAGAAGGTCCTATGTTTGATTTATACGTTCAACTACTTAGGATTTTGAAAAAGTAGGCCTATTAGTAAAAGGCCAGATCCTCTGCCAAACCAACATATGATAAACAACAGCAAAGCCTCACCATTAAGTATCAATAACAGAAGAATACACTAAACTACTTATAGATTGATGCTTTTGTTTTGTCTTTTTTTTTTTCTTTATTGTAAAGAATGTTTATCACCTTGAGAGGGTGCACTGATCATATTACCCCAATTTTTAGCTAGAGGTCACAAATTCAAATTACAGAAAAAGACCTTCTACAATCCAAGATAAGTCGCATATTAACCGCTCCATAAACCCCAAATCAATGGAAGCATCATGCTATTTGCATGCTCTTGTAACGAAGTAAAAAAAAAAAACCCCACAAAATCAGACATCAAATCCAAACTCAAAACCGTTTAAAAAATCAAAGTTATAAAAGGTAAAATGCCACTAATTATTCATAACATCTTCAAATCATAATAATGAAAGCACCATAGGCAATTTATCCATTATAGTTTTAGGGTTCAAAAATGAAACTGAACTGTCTGAATGCTATATTACAATCAAATTGAATACAGGATTGTGTCTGAAAATAGGATTGAAATCTTTTATCAAAACTAGCCATAAATTTTTTTTTTATCAAAAACAATTAAGCTAGTCAGCATCAAACACCATATCATGTCTGAAAATGAGAATAGGAAAGATAATTATTCAAAAATGGTCTGAACGGACACGGAGAAAACTTTCATGGTGGATATTTAAAAAAAAACGACTAGGAAAGACATTACACAGAACAAGAATTAGGGGAATAGCCTTTTTTTCCCACCTCTAAGTGGAGGACTTGTTAAAAAATGTTTGATACAAAAATCTCAAAATACAAGGACCATTGGATGCATCTAAAACGAAAGTACAAGAGACTTAAAGTTTTAGAATGACATACAAGAAACTTCAGGAGCAAAGGTGGATAACAAAAATTGATTGCTAAAGACTTTATTCTTTCCATTCCGTGTTTTTTAATGATGCCTGGTGTTCTGTTATTTTAATTACATAAAAATTCAAATTCCATTTTCTAGTTTGTTGTTTTTGTAAAACCCGCAAAAATGCCGTTTTAGACCTCGCACGCTTTTCGATGCGTCGAGACGAGTTTTAAGTGGAAAATTCAAAGTCATCGGAATTCGACGCAATAAATTTTATAAAATCCTACGTAAAATTCTGATCGTTTTGATATATAGGACCTATATTAAATTATGTGTATTTTGGGAATTATAAAATTCAAAAAATTAGAAATGCCCAAACTACCCTTGTTCCTTAAGCCGAATTTGTTTAAGCAAGGGCATAAGGGTCATTAGGCAATCACCCATCTTCCTATTATGAGAAGAACCGAACCCTCCTCCCTCTCATTTCACTCACGCTGGGCCGAACCGAGCGGAGAAGAGAAGGGAGCGGCGGGTAGGAGCGGCGACAGGAGGCTTCGGGCGGCAGTTTCCGGCGGCCATTCATGGAGGAACTTGTAGGGAAAACTAAGGGAAGGTTAAGGTAAGTTGTTTGCTTGAGTTCCCTCTCCTTTTCTTTGAGCTTTCTCTAAGGAATGAAAGTTAGGGTTTCGGGAAAACTTAAATATTCTTTGAGATAAGTTTAGAGAATTGTAAGAGAATGTTTTTAAACCTAAATGTGAGTTGTTTTCAAGAAAAATGTGAATTTGAAAATTAGGGTTTCACTCAATGTTGTTTTTCTTTGGAGATGCCTTCAAAAAAGTAGTTCCTAATGGCATAAGAGAGCCTCTAATTAAAAAATAATGTAAGGTTGTGGAAATTTTAAGTTTGAGAATTTAGGGTTTTTTCGAATTTTTGAGCCTTATGGTTTTAAATGGTTTTGGGAAGTATTTTAGAGACAAATTTAGGGGCTGTTTGGTTGCCTGAATTGATGGGGTAAAGTAAAATAAATACATGCATTTACTAAATCAGGTTGTTTGGTTAATTTTGAGCGGAACATACGGAACCCATCCGATGCATTAGGCGTGTAATAAAGAGGGTGTTTTGCGGGAATTAGAAACCCGCTCGATACGAGCGGGTTATAAATTCATGGGGAAAGAAGAAATGCTTCATCGTCCGCTCGCATGGCTTCCCGTTCTCCGGCAGCTCATCACACGCCTTCGGACTCACATAACTGCTCACTCCCTCCACCAAACTACAATTCCACAGCACCTTCTTCGGCTTTGATGCGGATGGCGGCTTCGCAGTTGACGTCGACGATGTTGCCGCTTTCCACCCTTCCACCTCAATTCGCACCGTCGCTGTCGGCAATGAAGTCTTCGTCGACCCCCGCAACCTCACCGCCTATCTCATCCCGTCCATGCGCAACCTTCACTCCCCTCTCGTCCGTCTCCGCCTCGACGCAGACATCAAACTCTCATCACCTATCGCACTCACCGCCCTCCAATCCTCCTACCCTTCCTCCGCCGGATCCTTCCGCACCGACTTGGCTGAATCCGTCATCCGCCCAATGCTCGATATCCTCCGCCAAACAAATTCCTCTCTAATGGTGAACGCTTACCCTTTCTTCGCTTACGAGGCTAATGCCGCCGGACATCTCGCTTCCGAGGGCGATGACGTCGCTGTCGAGGGAGATGCAGGTCATGCCGCGGATGAGGATGTGCTCGGCCGGCCGTAACTTATGCCGCACTCGTTCCAGCTGCTCTTGATGGCGATGCAGTCGTCGCCGGAGAACGAGAGTTTTCCGGTGTTCTATCAGGGGCACAGGAATAAGACGACGGTGATAACGGTGCTCGATGGACAGGCGCAATTGGGGAGTCGGCTTTTCTCGGCTTTGCAGCAGCAGCAGCAAACGGGGAGTGTTCCGTTGAGGTTCAAGCTAGGGAGATGTGCCGGTGAAGATGAAGCTTGGAGGATTGAATGAATTTTTTTACTATATTTTAATACTTTAAATTCTAACGAAATGTTCAGGTTTTGTATATTTCTGGTTCAATCTATGATGTATACTATAGTTTGTGGATTTATTCTCTTCTAATTGGTGCATGTTTTTTTTTGGTTTCAGCCACTAGAAAGCAATGATCTTACAATAGTAAGGACCATGATGCCCACGAGAGCAAGTTCTGGCAAGTTATTGTTTTGTGAAGTCGTTTTTCTTTTTTGGTTTCAGTCTAGTAAGAACTTTTATAAATACACAAGTTATCCCAAATGAAGTTTTTGCAATGATCTTTCGTGCTGTCTGTGAGCCCATGATGAGCTATCCCAAACGAAGTTTAAACAATCGGTGATTAATTTTAGAAAGCAAGAAGAAAGCTATCCCAAACGAAGTTTAAACAATCGGTAATTAATTTTATAAATACACATGTTATAATGACAAAAAAATTACAAATGCACTGTTTTTACTTTACTCTGGATATATCTAACCAAACAAGGGAAACAATTCTCCTACGTTTACTTTGCAGACAACCAAATAGCCTCAAAGTATTTGGAATGCACTGCATTTACTTTACACTGCATTTACTTTACATTGCATTTACTTTGCAAGCAACCAAACAGCCCCTTAGAGCTTTTACATGAAATACAAGCTTTTCTAAATTTTGATTTAATATAATCCGAAAATTAATTATATTTTAATTATTATTTAAGTGTAGAGAGAGATGTTTGCATGCATAAAATCTAAAATTTTAAGTAAATCCTAATTGAGAGATAATGGGAATGAGAGATGTCATGAAATGGTAGGAGGGGGTTTAATTTAAAAACATAGACATGGCATAGGATTGAGCTCTTTATTATCATAGATTAAGGATCTAGGAATTTATGTGGGGACTAGTTATACTTACACATTGCGTATGTCTCTTTTAGATATTGAACGTGTAGAGGGAAGGATTTGATTGGACAACCAGAAGTGGTGCACAAGTTGAAGTAGGTGAAATGGACTTCTTTTAAATTTAGAAAAGCTCTTTACATGCAATTACATAGAAATGACATTTCTTTTTATGCTCTTTATGATATCTTTATGACTAGAATGCTTCCTTATGTAAGCTCATGATCACTTGATGTAAAAGTAAAGTTCTTTTCATGCAATATTAGAACTCAATGATGAATTTCATGCTTACTTCTTTACATGTACTTCACATGTTTTCTCTTTACATGCAAATATACATATGAGCATAGCAAACATGTATTTCCATATGAAAACATACACTTGAATAGTTTCATAAGCCTCTCTTATGAATATGTAAGAATTATGTGCAATTGTGCATGTGCATGTTGACGCAGAAGTATCAATGGTAAATGAGCTCTTTTGAGTAATGGTAATGGGGCTCTTTTGAGCCAAATGGTAAATGAGGTTCTTTTGAAACAAATGGTAAATGAATGGTCAATTTTATATACCTGATCAGCACAAATGATACTTCCGAGACGGGTGTTATATATATTAAGATATTATGAACATTGCATCTTTATGTTATATACATATGAGGCTATTATTTGAGGCATGAATGTTCTAAGAGGAATAATGGAAAAATTATGAAATGAATGATAACTTAAAGGTTGAAGTAAAGACATGTATCACCTTAGACAAATATTGTAATATGTTGATTATTCTTTTATTGAGCTATAAAAACATGTCTCCCACGCTTTCTCTCAGATTTTCTCTGGTTTGGGCTGTTTTCCTGCTGTGGACAGCAGTTTTTCTTTATTTGATACTTGATTTGGGTTAGGATTGCTTGTGAATACAAGCACTTCCTATCAGTTTCTTCCCTTGTACCTAAATTTATTTGAATCTCATTTACACCAATTGAGTTGTGACTCATCCATGTTGTGGGACACTTTTCAGGAGGATCTGGTAAAGGATAATGGCGGATAGACCTCCCCTTACGTATCGTCGTAGGGAAACGACGGGCGGCAGGTTCTGTCTTTTATTTTTTTTGATGTTTTGAGATAGAAGGATTTAGAGATGATATGTAAGAGAATGATTTTGGACACCTTTTATATTTTGTAAGCTTTATGTTAGAATTGTTTTGTTGATGGATGAGTAGAAATAAAATTTCCTCTTGGTTTTATTTTAGTGGCTCTTTCTTATGATATGAAGATGTTATGTATATTGAAATGCGAAAGTTTTTATTATTTCCTACTGTCCGACTTTCATTCCAGCCTCGCACTTGCGAGCTAACCGGTCCGGGTCGTGACAATTTTCATATTTATATCGACCCATCCAAAACCCAAAGAGTATTTTTCTTTCAATTGAGTAGAATTTCCCCCAAATATGAAGGTATCACGTTATGCAAAATTATTATCAAGACACCATCTCACCAAGTAAAAAAATGAGTGGCGAGAACTAGCAAATATTTTTTAGTGCCTCTCTCCCACTTGACACCAAAGTTCACTTTCTATCAAAGAACACATTCATTTCAAAAGGAAACAACCGTGTCTTGAAGCAAGGAATTCACATAAAGAGCACAAAATGTCATAGTCAATCTTCTACTTAATATCAACAAAATGTAAAGACTGAGGAGTGCTAAACCAACAGCTAACCTCATGGAAAACTGTCGCATAGCTACTATGGTTTCCTATAAAGATATGGGCATGCACCACGCATAACAACACAAATAAGTTCCAAGTCAGTAAATCTTAAATAAGCGTTGCCAAAAACTACAAACAATATACAGACAGTAGAAAAAAATGCATTGCAATGAAATAAATAGGCTACAAATTAAAAATAAAAAAATAGGCTACAAATTTATCTGTGGAAAAGCAAAAGAGAACATTGAAGACCAGAGCAGCTGAAAACCAAAAATCTAGCTAAGAGAAAGAAAAAAGAAAGAAACAAATAACAATGATTAAAAGCAATAAACTTTATTTTCATTTGTATTTTGTAGGTAAATACATTCAAAAAATACGTAGAGGCAAAATAATTATGACAGACAAAATAATGACTTGAGTTGCACCTCATCGGAAGGATCTGATAACGCCTTCAAAAGGGAATTAAATATGTCGTTCAAGTACGTAATGACCTGAAACAGAAACTTAAATTTAAAAACCTACACAAATAAGGACACAAAGAATAGCATAGAGTCAAAAATAATAATCAAGCGTCACCATTTAAACCTCCTGGCAATGAAAACCAAACCTTCAGTGATTGAAATTTCATTTCAAAAGAAGACAAACATGATGATCAAGCATATCCGGGGAAAAAAAGATAGAACATAAATTCAATTGTGTGATCAGCCATCTTCTGCTTCCTTGGTCACCCTTCTAATTGGAGGTTGTGGGTATATCACTTGTCTATGCATTAAGAGCTCTATTGCATTTATCTTCCTCTATGTGGCTAGCAGCATCAGAGAATCAATTTTTTGAACTTCACCACTGTCTAGCCGCTCCGAAAATGTTAATATCGAGTTTATATATAAGTATGGGACCACATGATCATTGATGTTTCCATTTGCAATTAAGCAAGAAGCTCTTTCCCTAGTTGCTGCTCACAATTCATGATCATGTTTTTCCAGTAGGTGATACATTTTGTGGCCAACTATTCCCATGCTTGTAGACATGATATCAGCGATGGCAGCCTTCACCTATTCCTATCCACTTAGACATGACATCAGTGATGGTAGCCTTTTCAATAGCATTGTTAAAATACTCAACAAATATTCTCCCAACCCAATAAATGACATGATTAAGTTAGTGGAAAGTTTAATGTACCATTTAAAATCAAACCTAGTGAGACTACTGGCAAATTGGAGAAAAAGTTGGGCACTTACACATCCAATATTATCATGGGTGATTTTATATTTAGTTAGCTTCCGCCTCAAGTTGCTATTCTTGTTGTTGAAGGTGTTGAATTTTGTATTAAATACACCTTGGAGTATTGCACCTGATCAACTTTTTGGCAAGGTTGTGAAAACCGGACCGGACAACGAACCGGAAGAGGGAGAGGTTCACGGTTTGACCGGTTCGACCGATTTTATATTTAGTTAGCTTCCGCCTCAAGTTGCTATTCTTGTTGTTGAAGGTGTTGAATTTTGTATTAAATACACCTTGGAGTATTGCACCTGATCAACTTTTTGGCAAGGTTGTGAAAACCGGACCGGACAACGAACCGGAAGAGGGAGAGGTTCACGGTTTGACCGGTTCGACCGGTCGAACCGGATGACGTAATAAATAATAATATTATTAAAAATTAATAACATAAAAATCATATAATATAAGTATATGAGCATTTAATAATATTTATAAAATTTTAAAATATATAATAAAATTTTATACATATAAATATCATTTAAGAATAATATATTTATAAGAATAATACTTAATATAATATATAAATTTATAATATAAAAAATTTATGATTATTAATATAATATAAATTGATACGGCATCACAAAATTAGCTTGATCTGGCACGAATCTCGAGGCAAAAGC